AGGTAATGTAGACACATTTCAGCAAGCTCTGGGGAACAACCAAATGGCTAAGGTATATGCACATGCTCCGCAACTTACCATGGGGTGATGTCCCAATAAACCCATCATAAGTAGAAAATACCATTAGTCATACCATCATAAGTTGGGGACTGTCTCTGTGTACAAAATAAGAATGGTTATCAGATACATGATAAGCTGGAAAAATATTAAATCTAACGTAGGACGTTTTGATGAGGAGTGTACCAGTCAGTGAGTCAAAAGAAGGAATTAGATCTGTTGGGTTTTGGGAGCTTCGGACAACTGGGGAGAGGCTAAAGAAAATCATTAGCCTCTCCCCAGGCTAATGAAGAAAATCTGTCTTCAAAGATTTAGCAAATATTTGTTAGGTGCACATTCTGTGCAAGTGCTTGTGAAGACTTTGGAGGTACGGTGATGAAGCAGACTGGGTTCATGGGCCCAAGTGCTTTAGTGGTCTTACCAGACAAAGTCCAGCTGTGTTAAAACCCATCACTGACAAATGAGGGGAGAGCAGCAGAACAAAGGGAAGAAAATGGAGTAGAAAGGAGTTTGAAAAGAGGAGAAAGAGTGGTGAAGATTACCCAGAGTGTAGGCAATGACTCATATGTCCCAGACTCAGACATCCTAGAGATGCACTGGTGATGGAACATTGTGGCATCAGGATGGAAGCGTGGAGAAATGTAGGGACAATGAAAATGGGAGGAGGGCAGCAGATTTGAGAGTGGACAGTGGAAGTTCAGCTGTGTTCTAGAAAGATTTTTATTCAAAACATAAAAATAAAATCAGATGGTGGTTAGTTCAGTTATTTTAGAAATGGAAACTGATAAATTTCATTTTCATATAAAAAATACTTCATCAGAATATATGAATAACTGAGATCTTAAATGCACAGTGCTTAAGAGTTCATCATGAGATGCAGTTTTGAGTTAAGTCTATGGAGTGCTATAAATGCAGTGGGTTTTGTTGGAACTTGGCATTATATCATAGAAAGGCATTTTGTGTGAGATCATCATAGGGTCTTTAGATTGGAGATAAAAGACAGGCTTTTGTCATTAAGATTTAGCTGGTTAGCTCAATTTGCTAGGCCTGTTCTGGGCCACCCTCTAACCAATTGAGCTAAAAGACCAACCTTTTCTTTTTCGTTTTCTTTTTTTTTTGGCATCTGGCTGGTCAGCGGATGCAGACTCCTAATCTTACTGTTATAACACTATATTCTGACCAATTGAACTAACTGGCCAGCAAGAAGAGCAACTTTTAAGATAGTTTGTCTTGTCTCAAGTCATTACAAACCAGGTCTGAGCATAGTTGTGGAATAGTGTGGTTATGGAGCGGTGAGCAGGGCATTGTAGAGCAAGGGCAAGTGCTGAAGAGATGGCCCTGTTCCTAAGTGACAGGCAGGCTGTTGTCCCCGCAGTATCAGAAAGCATTGTCTTACTTATTCTTCACAATTCTGAGATGGGCTTTAGTATTTTTGAGGTGGTAGAGAGACAGCTATTATTTTATACTATTTAGAATTTTTATTTACGTAAAGAGTTAAATGGATTTTAAAACTAGTCTCTCAGTTACTTTTTCTCAAGGCAAAGTTGCTCAAACATTTTCTGATCACCGTACAATGAGTTTTTGTTTAATTTTGATAGTGAATTTAGAGTTCTCGGTAGCAGAAAAGGTGAATAAAGTGAATGTTGGTCGAATTTTTGTGTATAAGGTGACTGTGTGGGTAAACTGCCTGGGAGTCCACATATGAGTCCACCTTAACACCAGTGAGGTCTTGCAGTGATCCACCCCTTGTCTTCTCCTGGGGGGCAGAAACACTAGCTGAAAAATACTGTTCTGGACGAGCTCTTAGATTTGATAATGGCTGAATGCAGGTAGCTTTGTGCTTATTTTGGTGGGGGGGAGGGGTGCGGGGTGGTAAAGAATTCCTATTCTGACTTGAGAAACATTAGGAATGTCTGCTGCCAGTAATCTCATGTGAAATTCTTTTTAAGGTGCCTTTTACACACGCAGCTATCCTCAGGAGGGCTGACCCATCAAGAGGCCTCCATTCATTTGACCGTAGGTTTCTTAGATCACTATGCCTTCAAGCATCTTATGGCATCTGTAGCCAGAGACCTCCCCAGAACAAGGGACGTGTGCACAGACATAGAGCATGTGCCTGCAGTTCTAGCAGGGTTCATGGGGCTCCTGCAGTCCACCTGTGGCCTCCTCTAGGTTAAGAGCTCTTATCTAAGGATACATTGATTGAATAGACCTCCTTCTGAATAACAGGTACGCTGGGGACCAGAAATGTTAATGAACTTGAAGACACAATGGATGAAAGGGGTTATTTTGAGGCCCAGGACACTGCCCAGCTAGGGCTTGCTCTGAGCAGGAGGAAAGCCAAAAAAAATGTAGGTCAGAGGCCACCTAGTCCTAGAAGGAAGGACTCAGGGTGGAAAGGTGCTTCCTCAGTGCAAATAGAAAGAGCCACATTTACAGAGCTGTGTTCCCTGGGCAGAGTGAAAGTCTGAGGATGCTTTGGATTTTGAGGTTATGCTCAATGTGCAAAGTAAAACATGTTTCTTATTCTTCTCCAGTTGTGCTTTAAATTTTTTTAAGTTTGTCTTTGAACCAAATGAATACAGTCATGTGCTTCATAATGACGTTTTGGTAAATGACTGACCGCATACAGGAATGGTTCCATAAGATTATAATACTGTATTTTTACTGTACCTTTTCTATGTTCAGGTACACAGATATTCACCATTGCGTTACAGTTGCCTAGAGTGTTCAGGATAGTAATATGCTACACAGGTTTGCAGCCTAGGAGCCATAGGCTGTGCCATATACGTTAGGTGTGCAGTAGGCTGTGCGTTCTAGGTGTGTGAAAGTGTGCTCTATGATTGCACAGCCACAAAATCACCTAATGACACATTTCTTAGAGTGTGTCCCCGGTGTAAAGCTAGCCATGGCTGTACTATATTATCACTGTTTAGAAGAAGAGACTTACCGAAAAAGTAATTTATTATGTTTTCAGCTTTGTTAATGAAGAAAGTTTTGGTTTTTACGATAAAAAGCTTTTCTCTGGAGAAGTCTTAATTCATAAATAAAACAATGTCATTTTTCAATTTTAAATGTATAGTTCATGTCCTTTAGGGTTTTACCTGTTGGTTGCAGTTAATTAAATACCTTCTCGTTTTTGGGTAACATCTTAACTATTTTTAACACAGAGGCTGTGAAAATTGTTTTATTCTATATCCTGAAATAGATTTTCAGCTTTGCATTTTGGAAGTTAAGTCAAGGAGATTTTTCATTACTGTGTTCAGTCTTTAGGTTAAAACCCTTGCTTCTGAGTTCGTAAAACACAATTTTCAACAGTTGTCTTTTTTAAAAAAAAATTTTAAATTTTAATTTATCAATATACAATATAGTTGATTTTTGTGTCCCTTTATCAATTCCTCCTTTTCCTCCCTCCCTCTCTCCCCTCCCCCATCAACATCATATCTTTCAACAGGTATTTTACTTGTACCTTCCTGATGTCTAAACTGTTTCTTATCATACTGCAAGTTTTTCCTGAGGGAACAGTATATCAATTGATATGGTCCCAACAATTATTTTGTTTAGGCCTGTGGAGTCATAAAGCACTTTGGCTACTAGTTTAGTGCAGAAAATTAGAAAGTATGGTCTTTGAACAGAATGTGGATATAGTTAATAATAAATAGAATAAAAATTATGTATAGTTTTTCTTTAGTAGACCCATGTTTTTTATGTATAAATTTGCAATCTTTTGAATTACATTAGTGTTTCTTGAAACTGGAATTTGCCTTTTCTCAAGGATCTGCTAGAAAAATGTTTAAAGCTGCTGCCAACTTTCTCCACCCAGTCTCTGCTCCACCTCCTGCTGCTTCCAACCCCCCTCCTGTCCAGGGGGAATTTCACAGTCCTTGTCACAAGGCAGATTCTGCCCTTGGCAAGGAGAATCTTGTCAAAAATTGGAACTGCAGGCTGTCTTCTCAAGACAGGGATTTAAAGGTCTATAGCACATTTTGAATTCCTGTGTTTAGCACATGGAATTTTGAGAGCTGCTAAGGTCTTTAGCTTAACCCAGATTTCTGAAGTCTAATATTTTTGGATCAAATTTGTTACAAAGACTTGTATGTGACATATTTCTAGTCCTTATATAGTTAAGGTGTATTATATATTTATGCCCAAGTTATAAGACTTGGAGTATATTTACTTATTTTAAAAAATTGTAGAGATTTAGGACATCTTTATTTTATGACATTCTTGACAAATTTTGTGATTATTCTGTGATATGTTATTTGTCATATTCATTCTTACTTGAAAATACTGTTAAGCAATAGCAGTTTACCTGGATGGGTTTATAGAAACCCTGTGTGAAAACTAAGGATTGTGGTCTAGGACCTTGTGATTCCTTATCTTCCTACACCGTGACTGTATGAGAACAAAAACCATTTTTATTTTTTTTTTGACTTAGTCTTGCTTTACAGCAATTTCCAGAGATAGATTTCGTGAATTAAAATTTAAAGGTTTTCCTATTTCTACTAAAGTTCTGTTTACTGCATGACTTAAGAAACAGTTTGGATTTTTGATGTGTTCTCAGAGTGACTCAGTGGTGAAATGTCTCCATGATTTGCAGTGACTTTGCAACAATGTTAAGTAGGTCAGCAAGGTGTGCAGAAGCATCTTTAAAGTTTTTGCCTGTGTTTCTGTGTGTGGCTGTCAAGTCTCAGGAATTTAGTTTCAGGTTTCTAAAAATCCTACCAACAGGTGTTTAGGATTCTGTTTTTTGATCTCAGCCATCTCAGCATTTCTCATTTCTAACTTTAAAACATGTACATTTTTAAAATTCAGGATATCATTAATTTCATCTAAAATATCTGGTATAATTTGGTTTTTAAAATAATAACAAAATAATTTAGTTTATTTATGGATGAGAATAACAACTGGTATTTATTGTCTATACTTATGTGATTTTATAGATGGAGTTTTAACATTGAATGCGGAGAACACTAATTATGCCTATCAAGTTCCAAACTTCCATAAATGTGAAATCTGTCTGCTATCTTTTCCAAAAGAGTCCCAGTTTCAACGCCACATGAGGGATCACGAGCGAAATGACAAGGTATGTATTTTCAAAAAGGACATCAGGTATGTGAGCGTTGAAACTGGAGGTATTGTAAAAATCAACATGTAAAATCAGAATTTTTCTTATAATTTAGGTTCTAAATTGTAGAATATTTTATATTTTATAAATAAATATTTTGGCATTTTTTAAAGTTGTATTTGTATTCCTAGCTATCATTAGATCATGAGAGAAGGTGAGAGCTTTTCCTAGTGAATCAGTGTTTGAAGTTATTTATGAGTGGACAACAAAATATTTTTAAAATATGAATTTTTTCAGTAGTCTCAATTTCTTACATGACTGAACACGGATTGGTGTATTTTGAAGTATTTTTTTCCAGCAGGGAATTTTACTCTTAAGTGGTCTTGCATTTTACAATGTTGTTGTAGATGTTTTAGATCGTGTTTGAGCACGGAGAAAATACTGTACTATATCACGGGATATTTCAATAACTTTAGTGCCTTAATGGAATGATCTGCCTGCTAGATGGGAAGTGGCAATTAAAACTACCATTAAAAAAGTGATTGCTGGCTTTTCTCTAGGTAGGAGAATGTTAGCTAGTGAGCACGTGAAACCAGAAAATACCAGGGTCTGCTCTCTAGAGAGCAGGATGTGACCATTGCAGGCTTTACTGTCAGCATGGGTGAGATGCTGTGACACTGCTAATATGATACCAGCACCAGGATGCACTGGTGTTGCTTTCTCAAGATGACAATCTGAAAATACGGACTTACTCCTCACTAGGGTCTTGATACTTCAGACAGAAATGCCAGTGGTGACTTTATCTTTCTACAAGTAAGTGGCAGAATACCTTCCATTTTGGGAATATTTTAGACTGAGATAAGCAATCTGTGAAAATCTAGTAAAAATTTGTATGGTTACTTATTTTACTAGAAGTAATTTTGTTTACAACAGGGGAGTTGGTCAGAAACAGAAGGGAAAATTCCAACTTGATTTAAAGTTTCTCAAATACATTTTCATAGAGACTACAACCTGATAAATTTATATGTAACATCATTTCCTTTTTTTTTTTTTTTTTTTGGGCAGCTGGCCAGTACAGGGATTGAGCCCTGGACTTTGGTGTTATCAGCATCTCACTCTAACCACCTGAGCTAACTGGCCAGCCTCTTATGCAGTATTTATTAGAAATATTTCCTACATGTATGTGTTGTCGTCCTTACAGTCCTTTAAGAAATTCCGTCAGGAGCTTCACTGTGTCCATTTTGGATTTATTGACTTCAGGTCCAGAAAAGACTTCAGAAATGCTTTAGTAGGAAAGACTGTAAATTATGGTAATTGTTAACATTTTAATAACATTTATTGAGCAAGCATCTGTGGAAGGATTGTATTTCAGTGGCTTCTTTACTTTTCTCTCCAATTAGCCACATCGTTGTGACCAGTGCCCCCAAACATTTAATGTTGAATTCAACCTGACACTTCATAAATGTACCCACAACGGGGAAGATCCTACCTGCCCTGTGTGTCACAAGAAATTCTCCAGAGTGGCTAGTCTCAAAGCGCATATTATGCTACATGAAAAGGAAGAGGTAATCATCATCATTTTGCATTTACTTTGTCAACTGGTTGTTAAAAGCGTCTAATCATTAGTCAGAAGGGTTTTAGGTGTAAAGTAGTTTTAAAAGCCTTTCATATAGATTTCAAGAAGCTAATTATCATTACATTGCCTTGACTAATCTCCAGTTCAGTGATAAAATGTCCTATTTTCTGGCTGTGTCAATACCTTGGGGTAGAGACATTTTGATGTGTACTATATTTGGAGGATCAAAATATGTCCACATTGGATGGCAGAAGTTCCCCTTGCCCCTCTCTCCCACTTCTTAAAACAGAAATTACCTTTCACAGGATTCTGTAGTTTCCAAAATAAATTTTTCTGTCTCTGAAGGTGGTAGAATTTCTTTACTTAACTCCTGGATCCCCTGATCTGTGATGGCCCAAAAAAGTTTATACACCAAGGTGTGAATGATCCTGAAAGCTCCACAGGCACGAGTCTTGGCACAGCTCTGAGGATGCCACAACTGTGCTGCTGGGGTGGGTGGGCCTAATTAAGTGTCAATGGCTGTTGCTTTAAAAATGTGCCGCTCCTACTTTCCACCCCTCTCCTCTCCCCTGATTAGTATTGTAGAAAATTAGGAAAATACAAAAAGTAAAAAGGAGAAAATAAAAGTCACCTCTAATTCTGAAATAATTACTGATGACTACTTGTTATATTTTCTTCCTAAGACAGAAAAACAAATACAATATTTAAATTGTATATATAAAATTTACATCCTAAAAATTGAGTTTATACTTTCTATATAGGTTTGTATTTTTTATAAGTGCTTTTAATTTTTAAATTAATTAATTTTTATCTTTTAAAATCTTATCATACAAGTAATGCATGTTTATTTTGGAAAGAATTAGAAACAAAAGTAACATTAAAAAACACCCATAGTGGAGTGTAAAAAAATGAGACTCATAGAATCAGAGTAAAATGGTGGTAAACAGAGGTTGTGGGGTAGGGTGTTGGGGAGATGCTGGTCTAAGGCTACAGAATTTCAGGTGGGAGGAGTAAGTTCAAGAGATCTGTGTATACCACCATGGAGACCATAATGTGTAACAAAGTATTGTAGGAGGCATCTTCACAAAGTTCATAGAAATATTCATTTTATCTAGTTTTTTAAATGTAATGCTCTCTGGCTTTTTATTTATTTTTTATTTTATTATTTTATTATTACACAGCATAAATATTTTTGTGGGCCTTCACCAATTTCTCCCTAACCCCCCGCCCCCTCCCACTTTCCCACCTCTGGTGGCCTCAGTCCTTTCTCTCCTTTTGAAAGTTCAAGGAATTGTGATTGTTGTATCTTTTTTTGTTTGTTTGTTTATTATTTTTTTCAGCTCCCACTTATGACTGAAGACATGTGGTATTTCTATTTCTGTACCTGGCTTATTTCACTTAACTTAATTTTCTCTAAGTTCATCCAGGTTTCTGCGAATGGCAGAATTTCATTCCTTTTTATGCAGAGCAGTATTCCATTTTCCTTCTTTACTCATTCGTTGATGGACATTTAGGTTGGTTCAAACTCTTAGTTTATTGTAAATAAAGCTGTGATAAACATGAGAGTGCAGGTATCCCTTCGACATGATGATTTCCGTTCCTTTGGGTATACACACAATAGTGGAATTGCTGGATTGTATGGCAGTTCTATCTGTAATTGTTTTAGGAATCTCCAAACTGTTTTCCATAATAGCTACACTAATTTACAGTCTCACCAACAGTGTAGAAGGGTTCCCCTTTCTCTGCATCCTCATCAGCATTTATTCTCTGTCTTTTTGGTAATGGCCAGTCTAACTGGAATGAGATGGTATCTCTGTGGTTTTCATTTGCATTTCCCTGAGGCTTAGTGATGTTGAGCATTTTTTCATGTATCTGTTGGCCATTTATACATCTTCCTTTGAGATATGCCTATTCAGCTCCTTTGCCCATTTTTTAATCTGGTTACTTGTTTTCATTCTGTTAAGTTGTCTGGGTTCCTTGTATATTCTGCATATTAATCCCTCATCAGTTGCATAGTTTGCGAATATCCTCTCCTGTTCTGTAGGTTGTCTTTTTGCTCTGTTAACTATTTCTTTTGCTGTGCAGAAGCTTTTTAGTTTGATATAATTCCATTTGTTTATGTTTTCTTTTGTGGTCTGTGCTTTTGGGGTCTTATTCATAAAGTCTTTGCCCAGTCCTATTTCCTGAAGTGTTTCCCCCTATGTTTTCTTTTAGGAGTTTTACAGTTTCAGATCTTATATAAGTCTTTAATCCATTTTGAGTTGATTTTGCTATATGGCAAGAGGTGCAGGTTTAGTTTAATTCTTCTACATATGGATGTCTGGCTTTCCCAGCACCACTTATTGAAGAAGCAGTTTTTTCCCCAGTGTATGTTCTTGTTGACTTTGTCAAATATCAGCTGGCTGTAAGTATGTGGGTAGATTTCTGGAATCTCTATTCTGTTCTATTGGTCCAAGTGTCTGTTTTTATGCCAGTACCATGTTGTTTTGGTTACTATAGATTTGTAGTACACTTTGATGTTAGGTAGTGTTATGCCTCTGGCTTTTTTTTTTTGCTTAGGATTGCTTTGGCTATTTGGGGTGTTTGTTGTTACATATGAATGTTAGGATTGTTTTCCTTATTTCTGTGAAGAATGTCATTGGTATTTTGATGAGGATTGCATTGACTCTTTAGATCTCTTTGGGTAGTTTGGACATCTTCACAATGTTAATCCTTCCAATCCAAGAGCGTGGAATGTCTTTCTATCTTTTTGTATCCCATTTAATTTCTTTCAGCAGTGATTTGTAGTTCTCATTGTAGAGATCTTTTACCTCCTTGGTTAAATTGATTCTTAGGTATTTTATTTTTTTTCGTGACTATTGTAAATGGGTTTGCTTTCTTAATTTCTTTTTCTAATGGTTACTGGAGTATAAAAAACACTACTGATCTTTATGTGTTGATTTTGTATCCTGCAGCTTTACTGCTGAACTTGTTTATCAGCTCTATGAGTTTTTTTTGTAGAATTTTTAGGTTTTTCTATATATAGGATCATGTCATCTGCAAACAGGGACAGTTTGATTTTGTCTTTTCCAATCTAGATGCTCTTTATTTCTTTCTCTTGCTCGATTTCTCTGGCTAGTACTTTTACTATGTTAATTAGGAGTGCTGAGAGTGGGTATCCTTGTTTTTCCTGTTCTTAAGGGAAAAGCTTTTTGCTTTTCCTCATTCAGGATGATACTGGCAGTGAGTTTGTCGTAAATGGCTTTTATTGTGTTGAGATACTTTCCTTCTATACCTAATTTGCTGAGGATCTTTATCATGAAGCTATGTTGAATATTGTCAGATGTTTTTCCTGTGTCTTTTGAGATAATCACATGGTTTTTGTTCTTGCTTTTGTCGATGTGGCATATCACATTTATTGACTTGCATATGTTGACCCATCCTTACATCCCTGGGATGAATCCCATTTGATCATTGTGTATAATTTTTTTGATGTGTTGCTGTGTTCTGATTGCTAATATTTTGTTGAGAATATTTGCGTCTATTTCTCAGAGACATGTCTTGTAGTTTTCTTTTTTTTTATGTATCATTATCTGGTGTTTGTATCAGGGCTATAGAATAAGTTTGGGAGATAATAAGTATGGCCTCTGTTTCAATTTTTTGTAATAGTTTGAGGAGAATAGGTATTAATTCCTTTCTAAGGGTTTGGTAGAATTCAGTAGTAAAGCCATCCAGTCCTGGGCTTTTCTTTGTTGGGAGACTGCTGATTACTGCTTCAGTCTCATTGCTTGTTATTTGTCTGTTCAGGTTTCCTGTTTCTTCTTGGTTCAGTTTTGGTAGTTTGTATGTGGCCAGAAGTTTATCCATTTCCTCTAGGTTTTCAAATTTGTTGATGTATAGTTATTATGATAGTCTCTAATAATTTTTTGTATTTTTGTGGTATTGGTTTTAACATCTCCTTTTTCATTTCTGATTTTTGTTATTTGGGTCTTCTCCTTTTTTCAGTTAGCCTAGCTAATGGCTTATCTATTTTGTCTTCTCAAAAAACTAACTTTGTTTCATTGATCTTTTTTTATTATTTTTTATTTAATAATATAGAAATGTATTATAAAGAACTCTTGAAAACAATGTTCTTAACTATCTGATTTAGAAAATTCAAAACTGTCAGAAGAGATGCAGAAAAGAAAGAAACTAAGGAAAAAAACTTCGATCGTAATGAGAAATCAGTTTCAAGCTTGATTTCAGTCTCATAACAAAGTCTGTCAAAGAAAATGAGTGATGGTTACATATTTAACAAGTTATACAATATATATAAAGATTATTGTACCCTAAAAGAATGATATAAAGTTAATATTTGATTAAAACATTCACATCAATGGTGCTTTGTACACTGCTTAATAGTCTTTTTTTTTTTAAATGACCAAAATTTGGAAACTTTTATCTTTTTATCTAGACTGACCAAGAAAAAAAGAGAGAAGACAGAAATTTCTAAAATCAGAAATACTGCAGGGCCATGGTAGAGCAGTTGCTTCTTCTATTACACTGGAATGGGCTTTGGTGAGAGATACATTCTCTTCTTTTACCAGTCTGCTGGTGACTCTCCTTGTATCATTGCAGTTGGTGTCTCTTAGTCTGCCTGCACAGTGGCTGTTGCTAATGCTGTGGCATCAAGCTGCTTTTGCAGCACCTGTGGCTGTGGTGGGCCAATCAGAAGGCAGTGATGTTTTCAGTGTGCTCCTCCTGCCCAGGACCCCGGGTGTGTTTTGTTTCTTGCCTGCATTGTCTGTGTGGAGGGGGCTGGCCCTTGGCTTCTGCCTTAGGGCCCCAGGCCTGCTCTGTTTCTTACCTAAATCATCTGGGCAGTGGGGGCTTGTTCATTCATATTTTGTATCGCTTTTTGGGTGTCTATTTTATTTAGTTCTACTCTAATCTTCATCAAGTTTTACTTGATCTTTCTGTCTACGAATTTTGGGATTGGATTGTTCTTGTTTTTCTAGTTCTTTGAGGTGT